TCATCAAACTGAGTATCTTCTGGCCAGTGACGCTCTTAAAAATAATTGCTATATCGATGACATTCTCTATGGTGCTAATGATGAGCAAACTCTTCTCAAAGCTCATAAGGAAATAACTAGTTTGCTTGGAACAGCATGTATTTCTCTACATAAATGGTGTTCTAACTCGGACTTGTTTCTAAAAAATATTTCTTCTCTCTCTTTGAACTCTTCTTATGTCATAGCTCCAGATAATTGCTCTAATAAGGTTTTAGGTTTATGCTGGAATCCTGTTCTTGACACGTTTTCAATCTATCTTCCAGATTTCACCCTAAAGAACTCATATACTAAAAGAGAAGTACTGTCAATAATTGCCCAAATATTTGATCCTCAAGGTCTTATTAATCCCGTTACAGTTGTCGCTAAACTTATAATGCAAAAAATCTGGATTTCCAAAATCAGTTGGAACGATACCATTGACGCAGATACGTTACATGAATGGCTAAGTTTTATTAGCAGTCTCTCTCATTTTAAGGACTTAAGTATACCAAGATGTCTCTTTTTGAGTCAAGAAATCACTGGTGTTGAGGTTCACTCATTCTCAGATGCAAGTTTAAAGGCTTATGGAGCGTGTATCTACTTACGTGTGACCTATAAATCAGAACAGGTGTCTTGTTCCCTTCTAGCATCTAAGAGTCGCGTTGCTCCGCTAAAACCCTTGACCCTTCCAAGATTGGAACTCATGGGTGCGCTATTATGTAGTAAACTCACAGCAAGGATTGCTAACATAGTTAAAGAAAAATTATCTCGATTAGACTCTATAAATATGTGGTCGGATTCAGAAATTGTTCTCGCTTGGCTTCGTTCACATCCTTCTCGTTGGACCCAATTTGTAGCAAATAGGGTCGCACAAATTTTAGATAATTCCCCTGATGCTCACTGGAGGCACGTACGATCCAAAGAGAATCCTGCCGACATACTCTCCCGAGGAATGTTACCCTCTGAGATATTAAACTCTTCCTTGTGGTTTCATGGTCCTCCATTTTTAAATCAACTGCGTTTGGATTTATTAAAATACAACCCAAAGGGTTATACCTCCAAGTTGCCTGAAGAAAGGAAAGTCATTCTTCATGCTCGAAATGATACAATAGATTTTTTCACCTCCCTTTCTGATAGGTTCTCTAATTTTTCAAAGTTTGTAAGAACTTTAGCCTATATGTTTAGATTTGTTAGTAATGCTAAACCGCTTTCTCGCAAGTTAACGGATACCCTTGAAGTCACCGAACTTCAAAACGCTGAACTTAAGATTATTAAAATGCTCCAGTATTCCAACTTCTCGAGTGAGATTTCTGGGCTTAAGAAAGGTAAAACTCTAACTAATAAGTGTCTGTTACCCCTAAACCCCTTTTTGGATGAGAATGAAATGCTCCGGGTAGGAGGTCGCCTTGGAAACTCAGACGTTACCTTTGATCAAAGATACCCCCTTCTCCTTCCCTCAAAAAATCGTATAGTTCGTCTCATTCTTCACAGAGAACATGTCAGACTTTGTCACTCAGGGCCTCAAAATACTCTGTCCCAGATTCGTCTCAAATATTGGCCTTTAAATGGACTACGAGAAGTCAAAAAGGTCCTTCACCAATGTATGGTTTGTTTTAAGTTTCGTGCCAAACCCGCTACCCAGATTATGGCAGATTTGCCAAAGGAACGTTTAAATTCCTCTCGAGCATTCACTCATGTTGGATTAGATTTTGGCGGTCCCTTTCAGATAAAGGCTTCCAAACTTCGCAAGGCTCCTTTAATAAAATCGTATATTGCTCTTTTCGTTTGCTTGTCGACTAGAGCTGTTCATATTGAAGTCGTCTCTGGCCTCTCTACAGAGACGTTTATTCTCGCTCTAAAACGCTTTATTAGTCGTAGAGGCCTCCCTCAGACAATATTCAGTGACAACGCTACGAACTTTCTTGGTGCTCGTAACCAGCTGTTTGAGCTCTATAAGTTTTTAAAGGAAAAGGAAAGCTCCCGTTCTATTCAAGAATTTTTGGCCTCGTCCCATATTCGCTGGAAAACTATAGTTCCTCGAGCCCCTCATCATGGTGGTATTTGGGAAAGTGCTATTAAAAGCGCAAAGCATCATATGCGTAGACTCCTGGGTAATCTTAAGCTTACTTTCGAAGAATTCACCACAGTCCTCGTTCAAATTGAAGCTGTGCTCAATTCCCGGCCTCTTTGCTCCCTTTCAAGTGACCCCTCTGATTTTACTTATCTCACTCCTGGACACTTCTTGATTGGACAATCTCTCACCTCATTCCCTGAAAAAAAAGTGATCCACATTCCCGAAAACAGACTAAATTTATGGCAGCATTTGTCCAAACTCCAACAAGTGTTTTGGAAAAAATGGTCTATCGACTATTTGAACAGACTTCAAAATCGCCCTAAATGGTTTCTCCCTCATAAGAACCTAGAACCCAACGATCTCGTCTTGTTGATTGAAGACAACACTCCTCCTCTTTATTGGGTACTAGCAAGAGTGATTGAGGTCTTTCCAGGAAAGGATGGGAGAGTAAGAATTGCCTCGGTCAAAACTAAAGATGGAGTCTTCAAGCGCTCTATTACCAAATTGTGTCCTCTACCCAATGACGATTTAAATTAAGTTAGTATAAGATTATATTGTAGTGTATTTTCTCTTCCTCGTGCTCTCTTGTCGTAATGTTATCTGTTTATTTGTGTTAAAGCCAGCGCTTCAACGGGGGCGAGTATGTTGTAAAAACAACATTTTATATTAATTTTTGTATAATTTTTAGTTCTCACAAATATTGGTTTGGAATTTATGTTAAAGACTGTACTTTTTGCCTGCAGAATATTTGTGCCATAAATAGCTTATAAGGGTTGTTTAAAGTGGTAAAACCGACGCCGCCTTGTCGGAAATTAGGTAAAGATTCAATTCAAAATCTCTCGCAGATGTGACCAGAGTCTCAAACTGTGCGGTACCGCCGGTACCTAATCTCTCTCTTCGCCGCCAAAATGCAGTGAAACGTGTATTTGTTTTTCTCGATAATTTCGCGCGCCCGTAAAACGCTGATAATAATAATGGACAATGTTTTAAAGCGAACTCTTTCGTTAGTATTAGTGCTTGTGTAAATATTCTCTTGTTATTAAATGTGTAGATTCAATTTATTTCGCTTATTTTTCTCTAAGTACAACCCCTATTAAATCAAACACATAAAGAACCAGCGCCGTGAAGTTCTGCTTGTATATATCGAAGGAAACACTCTTGTACAGTCCATGGTCCTAAAATATTTGGAACTGTACACGCACGGGGAAAGGAATTTAATAAGCTTTCCCCACAACAATTGGTGGAAATCGGAGAAAACTCCATCAAACACTAATCATCTTTTGGCGGAAAATTCGAATGGACACCCGTTACATACATACCCTTTAGCGCCTCTTGCGGGTTATTTTGTTACTAATTAAAATTTACTGGAAAATAAGGATATATTAAAGATGCACAATTTTTTCTAATAATACATATATTTCTTTGTTGTTTAAGATAAAACAGTTATAAACTAATTACATAATATTTATTACACATATTTTCATAAACAAATGTTAAATACTATTATTGTTTGCTTCCTGACAACTTACTATCATCATCCTTTTTGTAATTTTTCCATGATTTGTACACAACGGAACAATACAATAATTAACCATGTTGTTTTTTTACTAGGACAACACAAAATCTTTGCTACAATAGGTAACTTGAACTAAACTTTAAAAACTAAGTAAACAACTTAAATTAAAAGTACTAAGAATAAATGCAAACGAAAGTTAAAGATAATAAAATAAAATTTAAAACTTGTAAACAAACGGAAAGAAGCAGGAAAAACAGCAATGAAGAAGCAATTTGTTTTGATTTCCAGAAAAACTTGTCAACTCCTAACATTTCTACAAATGACGTCTACTACAGGCGCCAACTTTCTTTGTATAGTTTTAATGTCCACACTTTATCAACCGGAGCCAGTACATTTTATACTTATGTCCGACGTATTTCCATGTTCTGTGATTCATGCGGAAGACAAAACAAGATTTAAGATTTCTCCACAACCTAGTACACAACGAAAAAAGATTTGATGAAATAAAAATGTCATTCCTATCTTGAAACAGATAGGAGTATGGGCCTAATTAACCAAAAAGCTAAAGTACACCAAGAAGTGCCTCTTTAAAACTAGACCCCTCCGAGAAACCAAGATTGTAAAATCGAAATTTATGTAATAGTCTTTTTGAGTCTACAGTAATCGCAAACAGCCGTCCAATGAGTTTGAACTACCAGACTATCTTTATGAATGTATGAAGCAGTAACGAAGCAGTAATACATTAATGTAGTAGTATTGAGAACTAAGTATTCTATTTGTAGGCTTGATTCCTATTTCAATGTCAAAGTTTGATGACGTTGTGCACCTGTCCAGATTTTGTACAAAGAATGCAGAAGAGTATTTCAAAGCACTACCACATGTTGAATGAGAACAAGTTGAGTTATGCGCAACTATTATATTATTATTATACCGACTAAGCAAAATTGTATTATCCTTTTATTTTTGTGGCTTTTCTTAAAATTAATTCATTATGCGTTAAAATAAGAGACCCCCTTGTTAATCAGGGAAAGTGTACTTCTTTGGTATTTCTTACAATGTGGTGTTCTACCGCTATATAAATTAGATAAAAAAATTTAAACCACAGTGTAAATATACCAAACTTATGATTTAAAACAAAATTACCATATATAACAAAATATATCATTAATATTAGGCTTATAACTTTGAAAATGCTCTCCTGAAAAATTAAACAAAAGTGGCATTCCTCATTTTTCCTTTCTTCGTTTATTATTATAGCTTTCCAAAAAGCGTTTGTTCGTAATTCCATGAGTTAACGCTTTTAGCGGTATTTGCCGAGTTTTTGTCTGAAATCATCAGATATCTCGATGTAGTGATCTGTGTATGTGTTATAATAATTGGATCTCGTTTTAGGTTACTTCGATCGTCGTGATCAGCCGCAGTACAGTATTCTCCGTCGTGTGGCCACCAACCTCAAAGACGATTGTGATTTCCATGTCGGTTTCGCGGAAGCTTCCCAACAAATGCATCCCGCAGGTCAGCCCATCATAGTGTTTAGACCCGACAAGATTCGTACAAATGATCGTGATGAAACTTATCCCGGAGGTTTTACCAACTTCGATGAGTTGCACAATTGGGCATTGGAAAAATGCGTGCCTTTGGTTAGAGAAATCACCTTCGAGAACGCTGAAGAATTGACAGAAGAAGGATTGCCATTCTTGATTCTATTCCATCTTCCTGACGACAAAGAAAGCATTAGGAAGTTTAATGAAGTTGTGTTGGGCGAGTTGTACTCCGAGAAACGTAAGTATTAAAATTATATTTAAACGATCTTGACCACGAGGTCGAAATTCGTGCTCGTATAGAATGTGCTAGGTCCGCATTTCAACGAATGAAAAAAATCCTAATGAACTCTACGTTACCGTTGGATATCTGATACCAATTTGTAAAAACGTTTATTTATTCCATATTGCTATACGGAGTGGAAACATGGACTCTCGGAATTACAAGTATGAGGCGTATAGAAGCCTTTGAGATGTGGGTTTTTCGAAGGATGCTAAAGATCTCTTGGACAGAGCACGTGACCAACAACGAGGTGCTAAGAAGAATGGGTACTGAGAGAGAACTCTCAAATATTGTAAAAAAAACAGAAAAACGAGTTATCTAGGACATATTTACAGAGGAGAAAAATACAACTTCCTACGACTTATAATGGAAGGGAAAGTGGAAGGAAGAAGAGGTCTAGGAAGAAGAAAATGCTCCTGGTTGAAGAATGTAAGAGACTGAACAGGTATGGACACACATTCGATACTAAGAACAGCTCAAGATAGAGAGCAATTTGCTGTAGGAATAGCAAACCTTCGGTAATGGAGAAGGCACCTTAAGAAGAAGATTTAAACGTTGCAGATGGGTTTCGGTAATAATTTAGGTGAAGCTACCGACTGAGAGTTATATAGTGTAATGTCTACATTAGCTTTCGATAGCTAGCGGCATATGATACGTATGTGGCCTTGTGGCCCCCTATTGATTTTTAAGTGAGAAAGGCGATGCCCACTGTTGGGAATTTATCTGTATTGAACAGCCAGCAATTGACGGATTTGTAGTTAACTGTTTTATTTGCGTAAAAACTCTTTAATACTGTAAAAGACTTCTTTTCAGTTGAAAGCCTCGGAGTTCAAAATATTAAACCGTCTGTTTCCAAAGAATTAGATAGGGCTATTCTTATACAAGAAAGCACCCTAGTTCAAATTGGTAACCAATATAAAATTGGATTACTCTTGAAATATGACAACTTGAAACTCCCTAATAATAAACCCATGGCTATTCAAAGACTGGAGTGTATAGAGAGAAAAATTAAGAAAAATCCAAAACTAGGCATCAAAATTAATCAACAAATTCAAGATTTTCTAGAAAAGAAATATATTAGAAAACTGTCAGAACAAGAACTCTTACAGCATCAAGAAAAAACATGGCATCTTCCCATATTTCCGGCCTTTAATCCTAACAAACCTGACAAATTCAGATTAGTTTGGGATGATGACCAACTTGCTTCTCTATTAGGCGTCCTTCTACGATTTCGTGAAAGAAAGATTGGCTTTTCTGGAAACATCCAGGAAATGTTTCTTCGTGTAGGTATAATAGAAGAAGATCAACATGCACAACGATTCTTGTGGCGCAATGGTAGCTCTGATAATCCTTTGGAAGTTTACGTCATGACTGTGATGACCTTCGGAGCTACCTGCTCACCCAGTTGTGCACAATTTGTTAAAAACGCTAATGCGAAGAAATTTAGTGTAGAATATTCTAGAGCTGTTGATTCCATAGTAAATAATCATTATGTCGATGATCTCTTAGAATCAACAGACACTTAGGATGAAGCTATCCAATTAGCAAAAGAAATTGCCTTAATTCACGCCAGCGGAAATTTTGAAATAAGAAACTGGAGATCAAACTCTGAAAAATTAATGAAAATCATGAACACCACTCACGGAAATAACGAAGAAGTCAACCTAGATCTAGGGAACAATAAGAGCATGGAGAAGGTTCTAGGAATGTGGTGGGATTTAAAGGGAGTTAATTTTATTTTCAATTTAAAATGTAATAAAGGAAACAAAGATGTTTTAAGTGGATTAAGAAAGCCAACAAAGCGAGAAATTTTACAAATCTTAATGTCTATATATGACCCTTTAGGTTTGTTAGCAAACTTTTTGATTTATGTGAAGATCCTTTTACAGGAAATATGGAGGAGTAACATTTCTTGGGATCAACCAATAACTAATGAACAGTTTCAAAAATGACTTGTTTGGTTGAAACAGCTTCCAGAAATAGAGAAGGTTTCAATTCCAAGGTACTTTTTTAATAAACTCGAAAACTGGAAGGATACCAATACGCAAATGCACATATTTGTAGATGCCAGCGAACATGCAAGTGCTTGTGTGGCATATCTAAGAATAATGAAAAAAGATGTCATAGAGTGTACGTTGATTGGAGCGAAAACACATGTAGCACCGCTAAAACCACAAACTATTCCTCGGCTGGAACTTAATGGTGCAGTAATGGGTTCAAGGTTTGCTAAAAACATTTGTCAACATCTTTCCATACCTGTGCACAACATTGTTTATTGGACAGATTCTTCAACAGTTTTAAGCTGGTTAAGAAATGAAGACCCAAGAAAATTACCAAAATATGTAGCTTACAGAGTGGCCGAAATTCAACAAAACTCAATGGTATCACATTGGAGATATGTACCTACTAAGATTAACATAGCCGACGAAGCTACCAAATGGACAAAAAGTCCCAATTTGAAAAACACGGGATGTTGGTTTAAAGGTCCTGATTTTCTGTATCAATTAGAAAACGGTTGGCCTCCAGACATCACTCTTAAAAAGGAAAAAGCTGATGAAATATTAACCACTCATGAAGTAAAATGTAATAGTCCACCTTTAATTGATTTTAAAAGATTTAGTCAATTTAATAGAATTTTAAGAGCAACTGCGTATGTGTTTCGATTTTTAAGAATTATTTATGCAAAACCAGTAGAATCTGAAGAATCTGAATCTTTAACTCCAAATCATTTTTTAATTGGATCTTCAAACGGAGATAAACCAATTGGATTTTTAAACGAAGACATTAAAGTATTTAAATTTAATTATTTATACAGAGAGCAATTTGCAAATAAATGTTGGCGGCGCTTTATTTCTGAATACATACCTGAACTACTACTTAGGGCAAAATGGCATAAACAAGTTGTACCAATTAAAGAGGGCGATATTGTAATTATATATGATAAATATTTACCAAGATGCAATTGGCCAAAGGGCAAGGTAATTGAAGTTAAAAAATCACCTGATGGGCAAGTGCGACGAGCAAACAAAAAGTGGAATATATGAACGTCCTGTTATAAAATTAGCGGTAATACCAATAAATGGAGACCAAAAAGATGATGAAAAATAAGTGGTACAGTCTCTTTTTCGCATCGAACTGTACCGGGTGGGAGTGTTACGAATATTTATTATTTGTATAAAATGTATTTAGTTAAATTTTAGTTTTATCATGTTACACAAAATTTCCCGTTGCTACTGTTCCATAAATTATGTCAAATATAATATAAAAACGTCAGAAAAAAAACTGTCACCCAGGGAAAAATTGAAATAATTTAATAATTTAGCAGACAGCAAGAGAACAGAATTTGAGCTTGTTGGGAATTTATCTGTATTGAACAGCCGTCAATTGCTGGCTGTTCAATACAGATAAATTCCCAACACCCATCATTTATCAAAACTGAAATATTTACCAGTTAATGTTATTAACTATACCAGTTATTTACCATATTAAACTATATGAAGCCATGAATGAACTTCACATCTTTGATGAACTAATAAGACGGTTGTCCTGCAGTTAATTGGTTTACCGCACATTTTCCATTTATTCATGGTACCCATTCCAGAGAATGAAGATGAAGAAAATCTATGTGGAAACAATATTACGTTGAGACTGAAAAATAGATTAGTAGTGTTTTCTTCTTGTTCCTCTTCTAGTGCCGACTTTAGTAATGAATGTTGGCTATAACCGTTGTAAATTCGTCTCTATCTACTGCTTTTCTTCACTTTTCTTAGAAGTGTCTCTGTGTTCAACCCGGTTCAGTCGCGAATGTTTTTCAATCATTATATTTGTCGTCTACCAGGACCCCGTTTTCCTTCAATTCGCCCTTTTAGAATTATTTGCAACAACTCGTATTTCTCATTTCTAGGTATGTTCCACAATTATGCCGTCTTTCTTCTTTTAATGTGGCAGTAAAAAGTTCTCCCTTACCCTTTAGCGTTTTCAGCTGACTTTTTTTGCATAATTTTATTTTTTCTCCTCCATTCTTCTTATGTGCCTCCGCCTCTTAGCGTATTTCCTGTAATTTTTCTCAGTACTCTCATTTCTGCCGTTTCCAGTAGAATTTGCGTTGCGGCTGTGTTGGGTCTTGTTTCTGAGGCATATGCCATTATTTTTATTGCACTATCTTTATAGATTCTTGACCTTGTCTCATTGTTAATGTGTCTGTTTCGCCATAATGTGTTATTAAGGCACCCTGAAAGTCTATTTACTATTTGTACTTGATCTCTCACGTCTTTGTCCAAGTCTAGATAGCCTGGCAGTGTAATTCCCAGGTATTTTATTTCCATTACTTATTCATTACTCATCATCATTATTTGGCTCTACAACTCTAGGTGAGTCTTGGCCGCGTTTACTATTTCCCTCCATTGTTGTCGGTCCTGAGCAGCTATTTCCCACTGCTGCACTCCCATTTTACGTAGATCACTGGCCACTGCGTCCTGCCATCTCTTTCTTGGGCGGCCAACTGACCTTCTGCCATCGGGCCTTTCCCAGAATGTGGTGTTCAGAAGTTTTTCGTTATTTGACCTTAGGACGTGGCCCGCCCATCTTATTCGGTTTGCTTTAATGTAGCGGACTATGTTTTCATCTCCATATATTGTCTGGAGTTCATTATTGTGTCTTCTTCTCCACTCTCCTGTTGTTTCTTCTCTACAAGGCCTATAGATAGTCCGCAGTATCTTTCTTTCAAGAACCAGTAATTTTGTCGTTTGTCGCTGGTTCAGCGTCCATGTCTCGCTTCTATACGTTATTGTGGGTCGAATTATTGTTTTGTATACTCTTATTTTTGCTGATCTTGAGAGTATTTTTGATTTAAGGATGGTCATTAAAGAGTAATATGTGTTGTTTCCTGCTGTTATCCTGGCTGCCATGTCATTTTCATATTTGTTTTCAGATGTTATGATCGCTCCCAGATACTTAAA